GAGCATCCTCAACCATGCACACAGCCCTGCTAATCAGTACGCAGCAGCACGAACGCATGAGTCTCACAAGCTTGGAGCTCAACCCAGAGGGTTGGCCTCGCTCTGGCGTCTTCTCGCGAGAGAATTGCCGGAGACACTTTCTGCTTCATGGTTGACGCTGTCTGCAGTGGCAGTATGCACGGCGCGGTCCGTTTCTTGGTAGCCGACTCTCGCTCCAAGACGCCAAGGGATTTCTTCCCTTGGAAGACGCTGTCGCGCCGGCGGCTGAGCTGGCACCGCACACTGCCACGTATTCTCGCAACGAATACCGGATACGTTCCGGATGGACCCCATTTCGACAATTCGACGCCGCAGCATGGAGGACCCCGTGACGCTCGTCGTGATGCTCCTCGTCCTCGCGCTCACCTTCCTCGTCTTCAGCAAGTCGCAAGTAGAGCCGACTGCGCCGACGGCTACTGGCAATGGGCTACTGGGCCGTCAAGCCGTGGCCCCTCCGGCGTCGGCCCGCGCCGGCCACTGCAAAATTGTGGACACAACCAAGCTCTCCGCCGTCGGCAAGGCCATGCACGCCAACTTGCCGCAGCGCCAAGGCGTCCGCTCGATCTGCATCTCGGGCAACGCACTTGTGAAGTTCGATGGCGCCACCATGACCCTCGCGCCCGAGGTCGTCGCGAGTCTCGTCGACGTCATCTCGACGGGCGACGTCTTTATCATCTTTCTCGTCACCGACGAAGCCGCCAAGGCCAAGGTACTGGGCGCTTCTCGGCACGGTGCCGGAGCTACGATGGGATCCCGCTGCGCAGACCGGTCTCCCACCCCACCGGATTCTGTGCTGCACGACCGTCATCGGCAAGATTGCGCTCATCCGACAGATTGAGCCGCTTTTGCTCGTCGAAGGTAGCCTCCTCTTCCGTCGTCCCATCTCGACCGCTGACGAGTATGATAGAGCTTCGCGAGGTAGCGACCAAGCTACGTCCGTTTGTGACCAAGGTCGTCTACCTGCTTGGCGCCACGGGCGACGTCTTGCCGCCTTTGCCCAACAAGGACAACGTCGAGTACTACGCCGACTGGTCTGCGTTCACGAGCACCTTTACTGCTTAATCGCTGCACACGCTACTTCATTCGGTGCATGGCTTTTTGATTGCGTACATCCCATCGAGCCGCGCGAGCTGCCGCAGTGTGTCGAGGACGATCTCGACGATGCGAATGGACCTTGACGCGGCATGGAGCACGTGGACGGCGCGTGGGTCGCCCACACGCACGTGGTGGGAAGCAAGGACACTAATACGAGGTGGCTTTGAAGCTCCTGCATGTCGCATCCGGACTACCTGTCGGTGCCAGGCAGTGGCAGCGCACGGGTCTCGTAGACACACCCCAGCAGCCCATTTTCTTCCAGGAGCGACGTATGCTCAAGGCCGCGTCGCAGCGTCGCCTTGGTCTGCACCCCAGCGAGGTTCTCATGGAGCTGGCTCCACATGCCGAGAAGTGCAGGCGCCAGCACCGACGCGCCAAGCTCCCGCGACGTGCGCAAGGCCATGGTCAACGCGCGCTCGGGTGCGAGGCCGCCCGGGAGGCTCGCGCCGTCACGCAGCCACGCACAGAGGACGCGCAGCACCTTCTTCACAGCGTAGTAGTACTGCGTCGTGAGCCCTTTCGTGGGCCCATGCAGGCGCAATTGGGGCACGCATCGCGTTGCCGCATCGGGTTGCAAGTGGCGAAAGACCGTGTAGAGGACGCCGCCGATGCGAAGCGTCTGAAGCGGGCCAGCGTGCGTTCCAATGTGCGCCAGTGTCACGTGGTCGTAGATGCTCGTGACGTACACGAGGCCGACGCGCTTCGCCAGGCTCATGAGGTCGTCCGTCTCGAGGTATGCAAAGCAGTCGACGTCGTAGCGCCGGCAGAGGTCGCGCACCTAGACGATGCTATCCATGGGCCGGAATGCACTAGCGTACCTGCGGCGAAACCTCGCCCGTGCACAAGAGCAGGTTCACGGCCGCGTCCGTCGCGAGCGAGGCCACGTACTTCTCCAGTGCCCACATGGCACTGGCGCGAGACGAGGCGAGGGTTGTCGCTGCCTGTACGTGCACCGAGACAAGCGTCGCGTCGTTGTGGCCGCTGAGGCTGCCGTCAAAGAGCACGAATCGCTGGGCAGTCGACTTGCGATCGCTCGCGCGTAAGTACGAGGTGTGGCGAAGGTAGAACTCGTGCTTGGGGCCGACGCGACTCTCGTCCAAGGCGCCGGTGGGGAGCTGAAGCAGCGACGTCTTGGCCTCGGCGAGGACGTCGCCCGCGATCGCAGCCAGCGCCGACGATGTCGTCGGCAGCACCATGTCTGTCGCGTCGAGTACGGTTCGGAAGACCCAATCCACGGTCATATCGGCGAGGTACGCGACCGCCGGGGCCGAGAACGCGCCGGCCAAGCTCGTCCGCGCGATCGCTTGCGCCGCGTCTCGTAGCTACGATCGTATCCGTTGCAACGTGAGAGAGATGCCGTCCTATGTACCTCGGCGCTTGGTTGACGCGAGTGCGGATCAAAGGTTATTGGAATGGGCACGGCGTACGGCCCGCACGTGGATGCATACAGCGCCGGTAGCGCGTTCGCGAGGTCCGCAAAGGCTGTTGCCCAGGCATGCTTGGAGGCGGCGTGCATGTGCATCTCGTCGCAAGCCAAATCGAGCATGAGTATGAACTGCGTGACGCCGTCGCCGAGCTCAACGTACAAGGACCGCATCGTCTGCATGAGGAGCTGCGAGATGGGGTTGCTCTTGCCCGACGCCGCCGCCGCGCAGTGGAATATGGTGTAGCCGGACGACGTCATGATCGGCGCCGCCGGTGGGCACAGGACGAGCACCTCGCGCCCGCGCGGGCCAAACGTGCCACGGACGAGCGCGGCCATCTCGTGGACCACGGCCCGCACGTCCGGCAGCATCCTGCGTGAGTGATGGTCGAAAGATACGTTGGCCGTTTGAAAGGGCACCGACGTCGGTCGAAGGTCATCCAAGCTTCACTTTGGAATGGACGCTGACGCACTGCATGCGCTCGTGCGCAGCTTCCTCGAAGCGAGCCATCGGCGCAGCAACCAAGGCGACGACGACGTCGACGATGCGATCGTGGTCTACGTCGCGCAGGTCGTCGCCGATCAGGACGTCGAAGCGCAGCAAGCAGCCGAGTGCATCTGTGCGCTGAGCCCCTGCGCCGACGCGGACGACGCGCTAGCAATGGTCCTCGACGGCCGTGCCATCACGCGCGCCTTGGCCCACGAGAGCAACCAGCCCGCACGTTTCCACGCTGCAGTCGCACCCTCAAAAACCGTCACCAGCGAAAACAACGAGCTCGAGACGCTACAGTGGCTCAAAGAGCTCGCGCCGCAGCTGTCGCTTCGTTCGATCGAGACCATCTACCTCCAAGAGTGTCGTGGCGACGCGGCGCGCACGGCCGAGTATCTAGTGACGCACTACGGAGCCGACGAGACCAAGTACCTATCGCTCTCGACCTTGCAGGTGCAGCTGCGCGCGCATGGCGTCCTTACGGTGGAATGTGCAGGCAACGGACCTCCGCGACAAGATCCTCACCAAGTACAGCGACGAAGAGATCAAGGCCCCTGTCGACCCCAAGGCCAAGCCCGCCAAGGTCAAGGTCAAAGTCAAGCCGCCGCCCAAGGAGGGCCTCGTACGCACCATCTTAAATGAGTGATACCGAATAAGTCGACAGGTGCGCTACCTCGAAGGCAAGGTTGTGACGACCAAGGGCCACAAATTCGTCGAGGAGAAGAAGCCAACGTACGACGGCGGGTCGCGCGGCCGCGTCAAGACCAAGGGCAAGCGCGGAAAGGGCTTTGCCGACGGCTAAGGTCGAGATGCGAGGAGGGGGATGCTCGGCGAATGAACTGCAACTGACGTGGGTACGATCCGATAATATTTCAAATAAAAACGAGCTTAAATGGCCTTGCCTTCGTCGCCGCCCTTGACTTTGGAGCGGACCTTCTCCGCGCCGGCCTTGGCCTTCTCGAGGCCAAACTCGGCGCCGTGCTTGGCCTTCTCGAGGCCGAATTCCGCACCGTGCTTGGCCTTCTCAAGGCCGATGGCGGCACCAGCCTTGGCCTTCTCCAAGGCGCCGGACGCGACGGACGAGCTCGTCTTGAACGCATCCGTTTCCTTGATCTTGCCGACTGTCTCGGACGCCTTGCTCGACACCGAATTGACGCCCGACGCGATTGCGCCGCCGGCCTTGGTCTGCTTGGCCTGCTCGATGGCGGCTGAGGACTTAGCCTTCATCGACTCGAAGGCCGAGCCAAACATCTTGCCAGCGGTCGACGCGCCGTTCTTGAGCTTGTCGACCGGCAGCACGTAGCCCATGGACGACGTCCGGTTCTTCTTCTCGTCGTCGTTCTCGTCGGCGACGGCCTCGCCGTTGGCGGCCACCACGGGCGCACGCGGCTTCTCTTCCTCGTCGAAGAGGACCGAGTCCATCTCCTTGGCGGCCTTCTTGGGCGACGACGGCTGGTTCATCATGCTACGCGGTGCGAAGGACGTTTGAAAATGAAGAGATGTTGTTGACTACGTCGCAGCTGCAGTCAATGAAACCTCTATGTTTTAATATCCGCACGCGCCCGGCTGGCTACCGTCCTCTCCCGCACCCGCTCCAACCCCTACAATATAATATCCTGCCACACGCGATGCATTACATTGCAGAGGTTATCTATCCGGATGAGTGGCAAGCGCAGGATGAAGGAATTGCCCCAGCCGGTTGACTCGACACATGGGCTCGTGGCTGCGCTCGCCGACGGTCCTCGCCGCAATAAGCGTCGGGGCCATTGGCGCGGGGCTCTACTACCTCGCGAACGACGAGGCCGACATTGACGCCCGCATGCGTACGCCCATGACGCCCGGCGAGGTCGAGCTCCGCGCCCTCGCCACGCACGCCCGCCAGCATGTGGCCAGGCGCAACGCCTCTGTACGCTGCTTCTTTCTTCCATCGAGGATCCATGGTGAATATGCAAGTAGCTCTTTGCGCAGTCGTGGGTCCCATCGAGTAGCAAGGCCATCGTACTCCTCGTGCATGGCATGAACGAGCACTCGGGGTACCTGCATCGGCTCACCGCCGCCTTGCTGCGCGCATCATACGGCGTGTACGCGTTTGACCACGAAGGCTTTGGCCGAAGCTCGGGCACGCACGCGCTCGTGACCGACTACGCAGCGCTCGTCGACGACGTCCAAGCGCACATTGCATTGGCACGCGCGACGTGGCCCGAGAAGCCGATCTTTCTCGCCGGCTGGTAACAAGACGTCATCGTCCTCCCTCTCATACAAGACCACGCATTAGCTCATTTGGCGCCGCGCTCATCGTGCACGCGCTATTGCACTCGCTGGAAGGCATTGACGGCGTGATCCTCCAGGCCCCAGCGCTCCAACTGGCCGCGAACCGCCGCCCGCCTGCCGTCGTCGAAGCCCTCGTCAGTGTTCTCGCTCGCATCGCTCCTCGCCTCCCGATCGTTCCGTCCAACGGCGGCAAGGGCTCGAGTCCGCTCGTGCGCGCCGCCGTCGTGGCCAAGAAACGCGCCGACCCGCTCTACTACTCGGGCAAGGTGCGTCTCGGAACCGCCTACTCGGTGCTGCAGACCATGGACGGTCTCCAGACGCCAGCCGCAACGGCGGCCTTTGCGTCGCTCAACGTCCCTCTCCTCGTGCAGCACGGTACCGCCGACGTGGTCTGCGCCCTCGATGGCTCCGAGACATGGTTCCACGCGCTCGTAAGCTGCCACGACAAGCAGCTCATCGCGTACCCTGACGCGTGCCACGACCTCTTGCACGAGCCGGCGCCGATCGCAGACGCGGTCGTCGCGGACCTTGTCGCGTGGCTCGATGCGCGCACAACGTGATGCTACTTGGTAATGCATGGACGATATATGCTCGATACCGTACGCTCGCAGTTCCAACCACAGGCTCAGACGGCGACGTGGCTCGAGAGGGCGGCGACGCGGTCTTGCAGCGCCGAGATGGTCGCAGCAAGCGCGTTCATCGACACAAAGACCACGAGCGTCTTGGACGTTGACGCGCAGCTGCACATGGTCGTCGCGTGCGCGGAGCATGCGAGCTTCGTGTCCGAGCACGTGCAGATGACGCCCGAGAAGAAGACGGTGTACTGGCACACGCAGCAGCGGCGGCGCGCGTCGTCATAGTCCAGCACGTCCTTGGTGAGCGGCAATCGTCCGACGTCGACGCCTGCCGTGCGGACCACTCCTAAGAGAAGCGTCCGAGGCTGCAGGTCCGACCCGAGTCGTACCTTTGTGGCGCAGCGCAAGCCGACCCTTGCGCTCGTCGTCGCGGAGGCGCAGCAACGCATCGAGCAGCCTAGTGACGTGGCACCACGGGTATGGACTTGATACATTGATACTTTTCGCCATCTTCGGGCAGCATGTCGTGGAGCGGGTGGCGAAGGCTGAGCCAGTACATGAAGCGGTCGTACGGGAGGACCATGCCGCGCCGGCGCTTGCGGTACCACATGGCGCTGAGCCGCGCTTCCGGGAACCAGTCGGCGACGGCAAAGTTGACGGCCTCGTTGCAGTTGAACTAGACGACGCGTTGCCGTTACCGAGATGGCGCATACGAGGACGACGTACGCCTTGGTTGAACCCGCAGTGGTACCCGCGCGGGAACGTCACGACCATCTCGCCTGGCATCTACGCATCTCTCTCGTCAACCCGGTGACGTGTGCTGATATCATTACCTGGAGAAGCTTGAAGACCTGGATGCCGCACTGCTGCAAAAGATGCGGCGAGACCAGCGTCACCAGCTACAGAAGAGACGTGAGTGGGATTCGCTCGACACATGACGGCGCAGGGACCTGGTCGAGCAAGGTCGGGTCGCGCCGAACGGTCTCGATGACATTGGCCTTGAGTGCGGCCTCCAAGCTCTCGGCGTCCGACGCTGCAACGCCGTACCAATGCTTGGGTGCGCCATGGTGCATGTAGTTGATGCTGTAGAGAAAGTTGTCTTCGACGTGCCACGAAAAGGTCGAGAAGAGCATGCCAAAGTAGAGCCATGGGACGTTGATGCCTTCGATGTCCGCGTCGACGTAGCTGAGGACCGAGCCAGCGGCGAACGGCAAGTTCTGCAGATTCCACGCCGTCTTCGCATAGTACGCCGGGTCTGCGAAATGGACCTCCTCCGGCACGTTGGCTCGAAGCGACGCTTGGACGTGGTCGGATGGCTTGGGAAACCCACTGCCAAGATCACGGATGCTCACGTTGTTGGCGTACTCGACCTAGTATGACGCATGAGACGAGGTGCTAGGGGACGTGTTGCAGGGGCAACCTCGGTCTCCTCGGACGGCGCAAGGACAAGCTTCCAGTACGCACGCTCAATCTCGCGCGGTGTCGCAGTATTTGCGTCCATGCCATGCGCCTGGAACCACTGCGCCTCGAACGCTGCGGCCGCCGCGCGGTACGAACGAAGCGTCCGAACGGGTCCTTCTTTGTGCGGGACGCCTTGTTGCAGCAGGTCAATGCGCTGGAGCTCGGTCTTCATCTTCACCGTGTTGTCGTCCAAGTCGATCTGAGATGGCGGCGACCAGCCGTCGGGCGGAATGATCTTGGCGATCCCTGTTGTCCGGCCTTGGGCGGCAATCGACCGAATGTAGGCCGCCGGCGTCGCAAACTCGGCGAGCGTCGGGCGGAAGACGAGACACTCGGGCAGCTCCGGCGCATCGGTATGCATCGACTTGTCGTAGAGGCTGCGCTTCGTGGCGGCTTGGACGTCGCGCGCCTCGCTGTCGCCGCAGTACATGTCGGCCAGTGTCGCCCGTGGTCGAGGCTGCCGCGGCGGATGGCTTGAAGTCGCCCGCTTCGCCCGCTTCGGAGGCAGTACCTCGTCAGCAACCCACATTTCAACTGAGCTGTCCGAGTCCGATGGCTCGTGCACGACGTCGGCCCGCGGGTTCTTGGGTCATCGCACAGGTGAAAAGTTGGAAATCCGAAAATGCATTCCAGTTGCACCGTCTGCACATACAAAAACCAAGATCAACGCAAGCGGAGGCCGCAACAACAGCAGCAGCAACGCTTGCTCCAGGTCGTGGCTGCACGAGCGTCTGCGAGCCAAGCACACTTCAGACACGGTGGCGCCATGGTCCCGATCACGGTGCTCTCTCGGGCCGTGCCCCGGCAAGCCTCCCATCGAGCGAGTCGAGTTATTGAGCATATCTTTTGCCCCATCGCTAGTACACTGCGCAGGATGGCTGCCTTCCTTCATGGGTGAGCGACCTGTGGCGACAAAATTGGCAAGAATGCATCTTATTTAGCCCGGCACTGCATCCGCGTAGTCTCTTGCCGATGCCAAATGGGCTGGAGGCTGTCTCGCAGGTGGTGATAGAGAGCGTGCATCCTTGAGCCGTAGGACGACCCACCACGGAGCGCCACTGCGCGCAGCCCATGCCGACGACGCCTTGCACGCGTTGTGATATAAGAATCTAATTACTTAATACGCCGAAATGGCTCTAGTTCTTGGAAAAGTACTCGCAGACCTGGTCCATGACGAGCCACTGGATACCGTACGACGGGCAGAGACGCGTGAGGCGCGGGACGAGGCCCTTGTAGAGCGCCGAGAAGCCTTCTTCCCGCGAGATGATGCGCATGGCGTCGATCATGCCGTTGTACTTGGGCGTCGTGCCCTTGGCGTTGTCCTGTGCCATGAGACGCGTCTTGACGACGTCCATGGGGCAGTTGATGCACGGGCCCGGGATCGCGCCGAGCATACCCGTGAGCATGCTCTTCCACGGCGAGAGGCTCTCGCCCTCGTTGAGGTTCCACACGTGCTTCTTGATCGCCGTGTTGGACCAGAAGGAGCACGCCTGGTTGAGACCCTGGCGACCGATCGTCGGCGCGCAGCCCTTCCAGAGCGCGAAGGGACCCTCGTTCTTGATGATGGTCATCGTCGTCTGGAGCGGACCGCGGTACTTGGGGATTTCGCCCGCGACGACGTTCTGGCCTTGGAGACGCGTCTTGACGACTTCGAACGGCGTCACGATGAGGACGGCTTCGGTCGCACCGGCGAGCGCGCCAGCGATAAACTCGTTGAAGCCGCTCACTTGGCCGTTCTGGTCGGCGAGGAGCTTGCGGTAGATCGCGTTGAAGTAGAAGCGCGTGCCGTTCTTGGCGACGACGTGGATCGTCCAGGGCGTAAAGCCCTTGTAGAGGGCCTTGGGGCCCTCGGCGCGCCAGAGCTGCTTGCCGCAGTCGACCATGCCCTTGTACTGGCCCGTCTTGTCGAGCTGGAGGCGCGTCTTGGCGACATCGAGCGGCGTCAAGATGACGGCCTCGATCACACCCGACATGGCGCCAGCGCAAAACTTGACGGTCGGCGACACCTTCTTGGGCGCGTCGTTCTGCGTCGGGATCGGCGCGCGGAGACCGCCCTCGCCGACTTCGACGCTGGCCTTCCACCACTGCTTGGAGAACTCGCGGACATCCGGGTCCCACATGAGCGCCTCCAAGTTGGGGTTGGCGACCATGGTCGCGCGCATGAGGAGGTAGAGGTGCTTGAAGTCATCTTCCGTGATCTTGGACGCATCCTTGGGATGGAGCTCCTTGATCATCGTCGTCGCCTCGGCGATCGTGACTTGGATGCCCATCTTGACCATGGCCTCCTGGAGCGCGGCCTCGTCGAGGAAGCCCTTCTTCTGCACGTCGAACGACTGGAAGATCTGGTGGATAAAGTTCTCATGCACGGCGTGAAAGTCGGCGAACGTGACTTTGCCAGCGTGGCGCGGGTCGAGCTTCTCGACGAGCGCGGCCGCCTCGTCGGCCGAGAGGCGGACGCCGGCCTTCTTGAGGCCCTCGGCAATGTCGGCCGTGGCGACGACGCCCGTGCCATGCACGTCGACCTTGGCGAAGGCTTCCTTGAGGAGGTTGTCGACCGTGAGGCGCGAGTCGCGGCGCAGGAGGGTCACGGGGCGCGAGCTGTCGGCCATGGTGCGAGTTGCAAAGTGAGCCCTTCCAAAAAGGATGTGGAAACCTCCAATCACACGTGACGGGGCGGCGCGCTTACGCAACCAGTCGCCTACGTACATCAAGCTTATACGTACGTACTCGTACGTACAGCGTACAGACCGTACATCGATGCATGACACGCCCTTGTCAAGACGCAAAGAGCTGATTGGATTGGATGAGAGGTTGTGCACGGACCAATGAGACACGAGCAAGCCAATCAAACGTACAGTCGTGGCAGCCCTGGACCGCCGGCCGCCGACAAAGCGACGGCGAATGCACCCATCTTGGCCTGGAACTGCAACCACAAGGCGGCCAGAGACGCTCTCGCCCACGACGACGCCTTGGGCTCTCCCTGCAGTCTGTGCGCTCGACCTCTGGCTCGAACCTCATGTCCTCTCGAGCGGACTTGTCCTTGGAATCCTCCGTGCTGCCCATCGACTGCTCGGTAAAACGGCCTTGGGACAGCTCTGGGGACATTGACGCGGGTCCTCAAACCAACGTCGGGAGCCACCCGCGCAGATCACTCTTCACTATTACAAGGACCTTTGAGCGAAGCACAGCGACGACAAGCCGACATTATTGCGGATTGCATCATGGCTGCTGTCCCTTGGTGTCCCTTGCTTCAAATGGCGAGGCAAGACGAAGCAGGCTGAGATGAGGCGAAGATGGCGCAGCCTGTTTGCCGGTTAAGCAAGAATATCCGGATATCCAATCGAAGGGCAGCATTCTTCGCCCAACCATGCTGCAACGATGGCCCGCCAAGCTGCGTACGACGCGCCCTCACCTTGGGCGTGCGCTAACCTTGGGCGTGGCGTTGGCTAGGCTATGGGCTAGCGACTGCGGCATTAAGCGCCAGTGTCGCTACATGCGTCGCGCTTGAAAAGGCAACGCGAGTGAGCTCCACTTGCTGCAGCGCCACTTGAACGCGAAGCGCGAGAAGTACCATGCATCTCTGACGGTAGAGTACCCGGCACGCTTGGAATAGAAGCTGTGAACCGCAGAGCTAGGACGAGGAGAAGGCCCTCGCGGCCGACGGCTCGTGGCTCATGAAGGCGACGCCGAGCTTTCCGCACATCGTCGTCGTGTCGCCGCAAGACCGAGCGACGACCGTCATCTCCATGTACATCGCATCGACGTCCACTCGATGCGAAGCGACAGACGCACTGTAGGCTCCTGCGCGGCGGCATTGAAGTGCCTCTAAGTAGATGAGGACGAATACCACTCTGCCACGTCACGACTTGGCATGCTAGGCGACGTGGTGTCCGTCTCGACGTCGTTGCGATCACCGCCTATCGAGTGCGTGCGGTCGCTCTGGGTGCGCTTTTTGCGCAACGTGCGCGCATGCCAGTTCTACTGGGAGTCTGGTTTGCGGAGCGATCTGTACGACGTCCGGTACGTCCCAGATCCAGATCCAGATCCAAACGATTACGCTTCTTGGTAGGCTGCTGCAATATGAGCTCGATCTGCTGACGCAAGCGCTTCAGCTTGATGCACGCGACGACGACGCACTTGTTTACATTTCAGCGCCGCGCGAAACGTTGGCAGAGTGCTCGACCGATCGCCGGGCTCTCTACCAGAGCTGGGGCCAAGCACTCACGTCGCAGCAGCTCGGTACGTCAGCGTCGCCATGTCGTCGTCGCAATATGGCAGCGGTAGCACATTTGGTGTGGACGGCCACGGCGAGCGCAGCGGTCTCCGAGTTTGTTGTCGCGAAGCGTGAGAGCAGCGACATTTGCTTGCTCGTGCGTCCACAGAGCGCGTGGTACGTACTACCTCCTTCCTCTCCATCTCGCCAGTCATAGCTTCGTATAGCGTGGATGCGTCGTCTGCCGAGGAAAAGCTGACACAGCTCGCGGTTCAACCTCGTCTCGCTGCTCATACGCGTCGCTCAACGCTGCGGTTAGGCGCACTACGACCTAGCGCTCTCCAGCGACGATGTCGACCGCATCGTTGCCCTTGGTACGAGGTCTGTCTTTGGCATTCAGGGCTCACTTCTCTATTAGTGGGCAATTGGTGGACCGACTTGGACGGCATCTGCGCGTCCGTGGCCGCACGTCGGACTGACGAGGACGTCAGCGTCGTTGTCGACGACGTCTGCGTCGCTTTCGAGTCGGCGCTCCTCGCTGCGCTCAAAACGTACTTGCGTCTGCCCGATGACGTGGCGAGCTGTGCGGCCTTGGGTCGCAGCGCACAGGTCGAGCTCCTCGAAAAGTGGCATGCGTTCGAGGCGGCATGCGGCCTCAGTAACGAGAGCGCGCAGGTGCTGGCGAATGCGCAAGCGCTCCTCAGGCCCAAGGGCGCATCGCCGTTGCCAGACGGTACAAACCCATCGATTGGGTTGTCGATGCGAATGACACCATAGTGCGGCTTGTGCTTGCGGCGTTTGCAACCAGCGGCGTCACGGGCGAGCGGCGCTTCTGGGATCTCTTCGCCTCCAACTGGCTCCAGCTCGAGCCACACGTACGCGATAAGAACTGGCCGCATGTCTTTATGGCCTCGTAGAGCCCCGTCGCCGTCGGCGTTGTGCCCTGCGACGCCATCGACGTTGTGCGCGGGTGTTCGGTCGTCGTACGCCCAATGTTGCAGCGTCTCTTCCGTGCACTTTGGGTAGTTCGACCGACATCGATATGGGGCTCCATCTCGAGGTTGATGTCTAGTCGGACGATGCGACGTGGACCGCGGTGCAGGACCTCCAGCACGCCCTCGACGCACAAGAGGTGCGAATACCTCGACCTTGTGCACGGTACCAGCGTCGGGTCTAGCTGCGCGACAACGTCCTCAACTACGAGAGCGAAGTCGAGATCGCGACGCGGCTCTTGCACAAGAAGCGCGCGGCGTACGAGCTCGCGTGGGATGCGTTTGATGACGCAGAGAAGGCCCAGTACTCGGCCGAGGTACGACCACTTGCGCTCTGTACGACAAATCCTCACGTGGCGCTAGCTGTACCTCGAGGAGCTCCGGCTCGTGGCACAGCGGGATCACATCCAGCGGCTCAAAACAGTGTACGCCGTGCCCACATAAGCCCACTTCGTTGCAATATATAGAAGAATGGGTTACAAAATACACGACAACAACGGGCTCCGTCGTTCGTTGTCCTCTACCGCCGGCCTAAGAGGACAGCACATTTGTTGGATCGACACAACATGGAGGAGGACGATCACCCTGCCGCGACGACTCAACGTCGCAGCAGAGCTTACGAGGCAAAGGCACTACCTTGGGGAGGGCCGTCCATGACGCCGCGCGGAAGCATTCCGGGCGGGCCCTGCTGTTGCTGCTGCTGCTGCGGCGGCGGCATACCCCATCCCTCCCATCGGCTGGCGGCTCGACGACATGGGGCGCATCATGCCCATTTGCGGCTGCGCACCGCCATTCATCGGCGCCATCATCGGGCCGCCGTTGCTCGGGGGCTGCTGCGGGTTGTACGGCGCGTTCATCGCGTTCCCCTGGGACGGGTGCTGCATCGGCGGCTGGCCACCCTGGGGCA